AGGCTTCTAAAAAACTGGGTCCCAAAGGCAAAGCATTCCGTGTTTGTAATAGCAGAGGACAACTTGGACATCTCCGAAGAGAGCTTGTTAATGTGCTTTGGCCTTTGCAAGATTCTATCCTTAAATGGTGAGTAAAACTAAACTTAAATCCAACATTGTTTAAACTTTTAAAAAAAAAAACTGATACCATATTACTTTCTCGACATAATGATAACTTTTTTCTTTGTCCCACGCTCATGACATGCTGATTAATTCATTTTCACATTTGTTTCACCGAGCTTAACATTTACCGTCTTTCATTCTTTCACCACACAGTGCGAAGTCAACATTGCTGATCCTTGCAGTATGCAGGATGCATGTCAAATATGAACCTAGTATATGGCCTAGCTCTCCGTGAGTTCTCTGTAGCTCAAGTGTATAGAGCACCCACTTGGTGCTTGGGAGGTCATAGGTTTTAATCCTATCGGGGACTCAAATTTTTTTCATCCCACGCTCGTGACATGCTGATTAATTCATTTTCACATCTGTTTTACCAACCTTTAAAGTTACCATCTGTCATACTTTCACCACACAGTACAACATTGACATTGCTGATCCTTGCAGTATGCAGGATGTGTATCAAATATGAACGTAGTATATGGCCTCACTCTCTATGAGTTCTCCGAAGCACAAGTGGATAGAGCGTCACGGAGTTGTAATGACGAGATCATGTCATTTGCCTTTCCCACAGCTAGGGCAAAGTCTTGGTACCCATTAAACTGGCAAAGTGCCGGAGTTGATCAGTTATGCGCAAGGCTTCTGCAAGGCTCTTGATTGATGGCTCTTCTAATTTCTTGTCGTAGATAATACACTTGTGACAGCAGAAAGGTGGTCGTGGCTGCTTAATAGAGGTGGCCGTCAAATAGAGGTATCAAATACAGCAGTTTACTGACAAATAAATCAGGACTTTGGAAAGGGGCCACTTAGTAGAGTTCAGACTGTATGTGCTAAAATTACAATTGAGGGCTACTTACTGGTAGCATATTATTTTTCAATTACCCATTTTTGGGTGATGATGGATACTTATTATATATATATTTATATACATAATAATACATTTAGTAAATGAATATGCACTCCAATGTGAATACCTACCATTGCCTTGGCAAGCAGTGTGTAACTTAGGCCTCGGATAATAATAATAATAATAACTTTATTAATCTCCTTAAAAAGGCTTTTCAGCTTAATTTACAATGTCAAATATCTAAAACTTAGTTTTCCAAAAATACCCTTAAAAAATGCTGTTTTATTTTAACCTTAAATACATCTAAATTAGTGATAGACTGAAACTCGTCTGGGAGACTATTCCACAGCCTTTGGCCTCTGAAGGTAAACGCGCGCTGACCTGCAGCCGTCCTACAGAGTGGTATATGTAGGCGGTCCCTATTCCTAGTGTTGCAGTTGTGCACT